GCCATGGATTACTGTTAAGCACAATGTCCAAATAATTTCTAGAATATGTGGAATTGAATTTGAAATTTTAAAATTTTCCTGAGACATAACTCAAGTAAATATCGCAGTTCCTCTCTTTAGCTCTAATTACGATGACTTTTTGTTAAATTATTTTCTAACGCTTCCTGTGGAGAATAAGGCACTGGCTCTTTAAGCGTTTCATTTTTCCCAGTCTGCTAGGGCTCACTGCAGCTTGCTTCAGTACCACAGAAAGATCTTGTTGAAAGCCATGTCGAGCAGCTACCACTAAATTTGGGTTGATGCTTTAGACAGCTTAAATGCGTATCAATTATGTGACCTTAACGACTTATTTTCAAACACCACATGCGGGCGACCCTTAGATAAATGTCCTGCCTTGGTTTTAACCGAAGCATTTGTATTTGTCTTGTGGTGTTTGGAAAATTGAAACCATTAAAAGCCGATCTTCGTTTTTTTTTTGAATTACTATTTCGCTATTTCATAAAACAAGAAACTCCTTCAAACTAGAGAAAAAATGTCTTATACATCACAAATAAATAAAAATAAATAAAAGCGTTGATGACAGACGCAAACTTTAAATTTTTTAAAACCTAAAGCCTAATTGATTTTTAGTCATTATCTCGGTGCAATGAAGGGGTCATCAGCCGATATCATACGTGTGTTAAAATATCTTACTTATCATTATTTATAAAATAAACTAAAAACATATATATTTTTGCGAAACAGCTAAAAAATCAACTGCAAAATAAAACAAATATTCTCTAAACACCTTGGCAAAAATATTTTGTAGAATAAAAACTATTTTTCACTAGCCTTACGTATTTTCGTTGCCATTAAGCATGTGAAATATTTATTAAATACATTTATGCTCTCTTGTTTTCCTTCATTACTTTGTTCTTTACTCGCCACTTCTTCTCTCATTAGATCTGAAAGATCTTTTAATTGTTTTGAAAGCAACATTTGTTTGCTTTTTGTAGCAGAAATTGTTTTTGTCATTTTTGTTAGAACTTCATTTTCTTCAAACTGCATATTTGTATCTTCTAGCACTTTTCAGTCCACTCCTTAAAAAAGTCAAATGTAATTCGTTTTCCTCCAGTATTTTTGTCTATCATAATGTCTTTAACTTTCGTGTACTTTCAGAAGTGTATTGTTTTAGCTCTTTTGAAATTATCCTCCAGACCTCATCGTTTTTCACTCGTAATTGCTTAATTGAAATGAATTAGTTTTAGAATATTTCATGTTTACATCATAAACTAGATTTCCACATTCACCTGTCACAAAGTTGTGAGTGTGGGTGCTCATTTCTTGAAAATAAAAAAAAGTTAGAGAACAACTGTTTAAATGCACATGCGGGACAGTTTTTATTTTTTTTTTAATTTAAATATTACAATTATATTATAAATTATATGTTTATATCTTTTTGTAACCCTGAACGCTGCACCAGACCAAATGACCATTGACGTAAACTTTACAGTAATATTTTTGCCATTTCTTCTGAAGGGCTACATGAAACAATTTTTTCAAGAAATATTAGTTAATTCATTTTTTCGCTACTCTATCCACGCCCATACTATATATCGGCGTCCTTAGTTTTAAGTGGTCGAACGCAATCCGGTGAAGATAATCTTGCGTCATAAAACCACTGGTTAAGTGTGGATTATGAGTAGCTCCGATAGTTTATTTGTGATTGGCAATTTTGTAGTTGACCTAGCGGGTCGCGGATCGTTGGATTCCCTTTCATAATCAATTAAGTGATTAGCTAATTGGTTTGTTTTAAGCACTGTGTTGTGAATTCTTTTAATATGTTCTAGAAGTCTAACCCTATGTGGCCTCTCTCGAAATCATTTTTAATATTAGAGGAAAAGGTGGTAATGTGGCCCCTGCGGATATATTGTCCCCTTCAATATTTTAATATTTGAAAAACGCCATCTAGTATGTTTTATGCGCTACGGGATGCTCCCGGCACCATACGTATTTAGTACCTTACAAATCCACCAGAGCCTGTCATGTTCGAGTGCCATTCGAAACAGTTGAAACTCGTTTCCGGTAAAACTTACACTACTGTGATTTTAATTTGGTAATTGTTTATAAATAGTTTTGTGGCTATTGTGTTCAGACAACTAACCAACTAATATAATATAGTTGTCTATGGTTCGGACATTGGATACGTTGAACTGTTCTTCTTCGAGAATTAAAAGGTAAAGACAAAATTAAATTTGTAATAATCATTTTTGATACGTTTGTTTAACAAAAAAAATGGGATCCTGAACAAATGAAATCAGCAATTAATGAAGTAAGGTCATGGGATATAAAAAGGCTGTAAAAATGTATTCTGTGCCTAGTTCTACACTGAAACGGTTAGTAAAGAACCCTCCAGAATCTTTAGAGTTGCTTGTACATAAACCACTAGAAAGAAAACGTGTACTTCCAGCTGAGCTGGAAAAAAAGTTAGTGGAGTATATCTTGTTTATGGAGTCCAGGTACTATGGGCTTACTAGAATGGATGTTCGGCAAATGGCTTATCAGTTAGCTGTTAAAAATGGTATTCTTAATACATTTAAGAATGAAGCAGCAGGGCGTGCTTGGTTAGATCACTTTTTAAACCGACATAAAGACACTTTATCTTTACGCAGACCAATGAGGACATCATATACTCGTAGGCTTCAATCGTCAAGCAGTCAAAGAATTTTTTGATATTTTGGAAGCCGAAAAGAGAAAAACTAATCCTGCTGGCAGGATTTTTAATATTGACAAAACTGGATTGACAATCGTGCAGTCAGGTGTTAGGTAAAATGGCAAGAAGTTGCTGCAGAATGAGAATCACTATGCTTGCTGCATGAACGCATCGGGTATATTTGTGCCACCTATGATGCTTTTCCCCAGGAAATACATTCACCCAATTTCTACGACCAAGACTAGGACTGCTAATCGTGGAAGAAAGGCTACAGCAAAGGTGTCATCACCATACAAAAATCAATTAACCGAATCTTTGCGCTTAGCACAGAATCGTGGACGCGGACGCGGACGTGGACACGGTGTCAGACGTTATCACGACAGAGAAGGATCCGGTAGGCATGTCGTTCGACGCCAGAGAAAAGCTACGTCGAGCAGTGGCTCTGAAAGTGACGAAGACGCAGTGAATACCGATTATGTCGAGTCTGCGAAACCATTTATTGCAATGACAGACCTGGAGAGCCATGGGTACAGTGTTAAAGTTGCAATTTATGGGCTCATGTAGCCTGTGGAGGTTCTGAAGGTTACTATCATATAGGGTGTTTTATTTTTCGATGTATATAACTTTAAGTTGCAATAAAACAACGATGGATTATTCAATTGACATTAATTTTATTTATCCGAAAGATAATCTTGTGGCATTACATTTTAAATATGATTTCTGGCATATCTGGACGTCCAATTTTCGATGACTTTTTCCAACATTTGTGTTGTCTTCCAAATGGTCAAGGGTATGTGGCTTATCCGCATAGACCAATGACTTTACATAGCCCCACAGAAAGATCTCTAGCGGTGTTAAATCACAAGATTTTGGAGGCCAATTCACAGGTCCAAGACGTGAAATTAGGGGGTCACCGAACGTGTCTTTCAATAAATCGATTGTAGCACGAGCTGTGTGACATGTTGCGCCGTCTTGTTGAAACCACATCTCCTGGACATCATGGTTATTCAATTCAGGAATGAAAGAGTTAGCAATCATAGCTCTATACCGATCACCATTGACTGTAACGTTCTGGCCATCATCGTTTTTGAAGTACGGACCAATGATTCCATCAGCCCATAAAGCGCACCAAACAGTCAGTTTTTCTGGATGTAACGGTGTTTCGACATACACTTGAGGATTAGCTTCGCTCCAAATGCGGCAATTTTGTTTGTTGACGTAGCCGTTCAACCAGAAGTGCGCTTCATCACTAAACAAAATTCGCTTATGAAAATCGGGAACAACGGCAATCTCGTTTTGGGCCCATTCGACGAATCTACGCCTTACTTGATGATCGTTTGGCTTCAATTCTTGCACGAGTCGGATTTTGTAAGCACGTACACCAAGATCCGTCAGCAAAATCTTCCATAAAGTGGATGGACACAGATCCAATTCCTGTGCTCGATGGCAGATGGACTCATTTGGGTCTTCCTCAATGCTATGCTCTTCAGCAGCAATAGCTTCTTCTGTACGCACCGCACGACGTCTCTGGGGACGCGAGTTAACAATAAGAGTAAACGTGGTGCGAAAACGTTCCATGGTTAATCGAATTAACTGCTCTGATGGACGATTTTGTCGACGATAAAATGGACGTATTCCGCACAGAACCATTATTTTCGAAATAAAATTGCACCATTTGCAAGCGTTGTTCAGGCGTGAATCTATTCATGATGAATTGCCAAACCAAACTGAGAATAAATCACTTGACAGCTGTTAAATGGGTCGCCATCTTGAACAGTAATGCCAACTTAAAGTTCTATACATCAAAAAAAAAAACACCCATTATTTGTGATTTTTACCGTTAATTTTAAATTGTGCAATACATTTAATGTGACTCCCCAGGGGTCACTTGATCTCAAGATACGAAATTTGAATAACTTAAGAATAAATAATATTTTTGCTATCTTGTACGCGTTTCATTTATTTATTTAGAGTCAGACATGTATAAACAATTAAATAAGAAGTTCTATGATGTATCTTTGAGGTTTGCCACTCCTATATTTTTTAAATAAAACTTAAAAAACAAACAAACAAAGTGTTTTTCTGCAATTGTAAAGTTTTACTCTCTAAAACCTGCCACATAATTGAGAACTAGGAAACAGGCTTTAACTGAATCGCCCTGTAGATGCATCGGTATTTTCCCTAAACGATACGCTGCAAAAAATATGCCAAATATTCCGCATTTATGCAAACCATTACGTTAGACGCGATTATTATTTCGCTTGTAGGTCATCACTGTATGCGTGTGGAGTACATTTTAACCCTTGCTATGTTTGCAACGCACGCCGCGATCATTATAAGCTTGTACGCTCTTACAGACCCTTGTCTGGCCAATCGTAAACACATGTTGAGACCCACTTATAAGCGAAACCCTGTAGGCAGCGAATGCGGAAGACCCCTGGGCAATGAATATGTCATCCAAACTGACCGCATCGTAGCTGGTTACGACGTCGGGTACTACAGGTACCCATGGTACGCGGCGCTGGTACGCTCGAACCAAGTAAACTGCGGCGGTGCTTTGATTGGGCCCCAAATTGTCCTCACCGCAGCTCATTGTTTCAAAGAGTACCTCCACTCTACTAGGTAATTGACTTCACTGCTACGGCTACCGCCGATATAACAGGTTTGTTTAGTCAGGGAGGCAAATTGGAGGACATTTCCACAGTCAGACTAGGAATGTACAACATTTGCGCCAGCGAAAAGGAGGTGACCGAATACAGGGTCGTCAAAGTGGAAATCCACGAACTTTATCCCAAGAAGAAGCCGTACTACGACATTTGGCTGTTGACATTGGCAAACAGCACCGACTCATACAGGCCTGTATGCTTACCTAATCTGAGTACCTTTACTTAATTCATTAGTGCCTTTTGTCTTTTGGCACATTGATAGCTTGAGCATTTCTAACGAATTCTTCCAGCCTATAGTGGTTGGGGTTTTGTCCTAGCTGGCGCCCCGGTTTCCAGAAAAATTGCCACGTCTCTTTTCCACTGAAGGTGGAGGGGAGACCGAAGCAATCCTACTATACTTTGCTCACTTTGCTACCGATTGGTATTGCCATTGACACTTTTTCTTTTTTTTTGAAGGGCGCCAGCTAGGACAAAACCCCAACCTATACTATAAGTTAGTGATAGTGACTAGTGTCCTTGCTCACTAGCCACCCATCAAACTCACAAAGTTAACAAAGTTCGAAATCAAATAACCAAATAAATAATTAATAAATAAACCGGCACGTCAGTTTAAATCTCCATATATTGGCTCAAGTACACACTAAGCACAGGAAGCTTGGTTACGATCGATCGTTTACAAATAACTCTTACAGACAAATGTTTCTATTATTGTGTACTTTATCTTTACCCTAACTGAGCTCTTTAATTTATATCGATATTTAAAAATTGAAATTTGTATTTAATAGGAATAAAATTAACCGAAACGTAAATAGAGGCTTATCTGTGATTCTCCAGTTACCAGCAACGAACGAGTCGGGCAAGCTCTAAGATGGCTGTCCTCTATGCTGCCTACGGGTTCACCAGTCATGCATATCTCCTCTTGGACGAGGAGATATGCACCAGTCATGCATATCTCCTCTTGGACGAGGAGATATGCACTGCAACGTCCTGAACCGAGCTAACTTGAAGACTTGACGAATTCTTGGGTTGCAGAATTCATAACACGTGCCGTCCACGATGTAAGGAGGCGCCAAATCCAATTGAACCGGAACCAGGGAAGCCAGTACCAAATGGGAAGCCAAAACCAGTCCAACAATCAAAAACTGGTTCCAAAACGAAAACCAAATCCAAAACCAAAACCAGAAACCCTACAAAACAAAATAATGAGTTGCGGAGTTCATAATTACTTGCAAAGTGTGAAATAAATTGTGAAACTTACGCCTGATGATCGTGGGTGGCGGTGAAGAGTGCCAGGTGCTAGGTTGGTTAGCTTTAATCCAGCCTAGGCTGTAATGTCGGGGACGTCCAAGCAAAATACTACCAACAAGACGACGATCCGCAACTTCTATACGATTTCAATCCGGTTTAATCCTCGAAAACTACGAGATGCCACAAACTTATTCGGATTGAAATCTTGCAACCACTTGCACCAGCGGAAATCGTAGAGCCAAAGAAAGAAAGATCGATGAAGTTTCACAAAGTTCCAAAAAAAAGAGACCGATGGTGCTGGCAATACGATGTTCGGTTCCGACACCACTAGGGTCAATGGGCCAATAATGACAGAAGTTAATCAACGGAAGGAGACTAAATATTACCTAACTACTACCCGCTATTACCAATAATAATCAGTAGATGGATAAAGGGACTTCCAGGGACCCCATAACCTCACTTTTTGGCCTACCGGCCACGGCCCCCCCGCCCCCGGGCCACTCGGCCACGTGTCTTCTTCTTTTGGTCCGTTGGCCACTCGCCCATGGGCCTTTTCTTTTGTGTTCTGGCCGTTCGACCATTGAGCGCTCGCCCATTGGTTCAAGGTCACTCGCCCATTGGCCACCCGCCCTAACCTAACCAAACCGTCGTCCGTGGTACCAACCTAACCAAATTGTCGTCCGTGGTTCCAACCTAACCAAACCGTTGTCCGTGGTTCCAACCAAACCGTTGTCAGTGGTGCCAACCGTGGTCCGTGGTGCCAACCGTTGTCCGTGGTGTCCAACCAAACCGTTGTCCGTGGTGCGTAGTTCGCCCGCGGGGGCCCCGGGGGGGGGATGCACTGTACCAGCGGGGGCTACGCCCCCCGGGGGCCCCCGCGGGCGAACTACGCACCACGGACAACGGTTTGGTTGGAACCACGGACAACGGTTTGGTTAGGTTGGAACCACGGACGACAATTTGGTTAGGTTGGTACCACGGACGACGGTTTGGTTAGGTTAGGGCGAGTGGCCAATGGGCGATTGACCTTGAACCAATGGGCGAGCGGCCAATGGTCGAACGGCCAGAACACAAAAGAAAAGGCCTATGGGCGAGTGGGCCATGGATGAGTGGCCCATGGGCGAGTGGCCAACGGGCCAAAACAAGAAGACTCGTGGCCGAGTGGCCCGGGGCGGGAAGCCCGTGGCCGAGAGGCCAAAAAGTGAGGTTATGGGGTCCCTGGAAGTCCCTTTATCCATCTACTATAATCAATTATTACACACACATGAATGACATTACACAGTAACGTCTTAGGAAACTGAAGACGAACGTGGGCCAAAGGTCGAGTGCTTAACTGTACTAATGGCCGAGTGCATTCGCGTTGACAGAGGATTGAAATATAACCTCTCCAAAAAGCAACAAGTGTAAATAAATGAATGCAAGGGACAAGAATAGAAATTGCCGTTAGTTCGGAAATAAGAAGGAATATAGGACGATCGTCTCGTGCAATCCAACCGCATTCCGCAGTAACATCCTAAATTGCAGCAAAAATGCAAGGACTTGCACTTATTTACATTTATTTTAGGACAGGCAAACCACACCAAGCAATTAAACAGTTACAGTGTGTTCGAACAGAATGAAGTAGTTAAGAATAATTAGCAATACCAGTAGCTTTGAGGATTAAGACAGTGTGTAATTGTGAGAATAAAACATTTAATAGGTAGTCTCCGAGCATTATTAACCTACATGTGAGAAACATAAGTCGAAGTAGCCAATGACAAATTGAACCCGTTACAAAATATGTGGCACAAATTACGAGCACAACGAATTTTTTAAATAAATTGATCAACGCAGGACCCGTGGATTTCAGTCTATTAGGCATCAGTTGTCCACGTGAGAGCGTATTTCAACAGATTAAAAATTTGTTAATGAAACTGACGACTAGGGGGTGACCACGATGGATAAAATACTGTTGAGCCATCCGACGAACTTGAACAGCGAAGACCTGAAAGTGCTGCTGGCACAATACCTCATAGAACGGGTGAGACCCTACGAATTGTTAAATATGTGGCACAAATTACCGGGAAAACATCAATGTAATTTTGAACTACAAACTCGTCTGCCGTGTTTTGTGCATTACAACCGACCTGACAGCAGAACCCATATCGACGGACCGGCTCCCTCGCAAAATCAGTGTTTTCATTGTTTGAGCGCTATAAAAAAGCGCTGACGACGTGGTGATCAGTGTCATTCGAGAACGAGATGGCTACGCTAAACGCCAAGTTTATTTTGTTGTCCACATTAGTGCAAAATATGTTTTATATTCACAAACCCAGCGGGGTAATTGAAGCATATGTGTGTTTCAAAAACGTCGATAATCGTAATTTTTCCTGTTCATGGCCATGAAAAAATTCAATCCGTTAATCGAGATATACCTTGAGCGCGAGGAAATAGAAAAACTCGTGTCTCATAAAATGAACTTGTTCAATGCTTTAGAGTCTTTCCACTATATACGTCTCGGTCAATAAAATATACATATTCCACTTATTGTTTTTTTTTTAATTTCTAATCAGTTTCTGACGGAAACACGCGCGCGCGGGTGTACTCATCCGGCCACGTTATGTGTGGAAAATTAAAAATAAAATGCAATTTCCGGCAGCGAAGGAAACACATGCGGTAATAATATCAACGTTTCGTATTTCCTGTGTCGCAGGATGTGTGGATTACTAATCGGACCGAGTGGCTAATTAATTTGTTTTAAGCATTTTTTGCGGCGAACGCAGGCGACGCGATGATCTCACCCGCTGCCACGCGGCGGTCGCAAGCCATGATGTCACCCAGCCGACGAGTTTCAACTCGCAAAATCTCGTCGGCTGGGTGACGGCGCTCCTTGAACCATTTCTGCGAATAAGCAATGTCGTGGGCCTTACACGCCGCGTCCAAAGGATTCACGAAATATGTTAGTTGTATATATTATATATATATATATATATATATATATATATATATATATATATATATATATATATATATATATATATATATATATATATATATATATATATATATATATATATATATATATATATATATATATATATATATATATATATATATATATATATATATATATATATATATATATATATATATATATATATATATATATATATATATATATATATATATATATATATATATATATATATATATATATATATATATATATATATATATATATATATATATATATATATATATATATATATATATATATATATATATATATATATATATATATATATATATATATATATATATATATATATATATATATATATATATATATATACATATATATATATATATATATATACATATATATATATATATATATATATATATATATATCTATATATATATATATATATATATATATATATATATATATATATATAAGGGGGTATTGGTATTGGTATTGGTATTAAAGGGGGGCGCCCTCGCGGGCGTCCAAGCACTTAGGCCACCAGATGGGCCCGTTGTGCCCCCAGGCCGCTCTAGAGGGCGTCCAGAATGCCGCCCCTCCTGTAGAAGGTCAGCAAATCCTTTAGCCCAATACCGTGCACTGAGTCCGGATCGATCAGGGCCGTTCCGAAGACTCCCAATCTTGCCCATGTCAAGGCAGGGCACTCGGTGAGCAGATGATACGGGGTCTCCTCCCCTTCCATGCACCACCTACACTCCGGGTCGTCTCCAATGCCTAGCAAGCAGAGATGCCTCCTAAGCCTGCAATGTCCTGTGTAGGCCCCTGTTAGTGCTCTACACTCCCTCCTGGTCAGTCTAAGCAGCTCCCTGGTCCGAGGAAGGGCGGGCCCATCCATCATAAGCCTCGCCTGCCTCATTCCCGGAGCAACTCTCCAGCCCCCCGCGGCCCGGTCTCTCGCCCAGGCTTCGAGAGCTCCCCGCCTCACACACGGGGCGATCCCCAAGCGGGGCTCTGGCCCTATATGCCTATGCGAGGAGCCCTCCCTGGCTA